TACAACCCCACCTCTCTCTCTCTCTCTCTCTCTCTCTCTCTCTCTCTCACACCATTTTCCCTCCTTCCTCGAGTACAACTGATGAGTCACCTTCACCTTCAGTTAACTTTGCATTGTCACATCCTATCTGCTGATTCCCCCACCATCCGCTCCCCCATGGCCATCCTCCACCCAACTGGACAGCCTCTCCACCTCCCTCCTTCCCTCCGCCCAGCCTCCACACACCCACACCCCCAACCTCTAGTGAAGTCTAGTCCTGCCTTCCACCCCTCCCCCCTCCCACTTGCCAGATCCCTACTGAGACTCGTGTGTTTTTAAACCTTTATTCTTTTCCACGTTGATTTTGCATTAGGCGCTTCAGGTACATTGTGACTAATTACAAAGGTGACAATGAGCGTGACAAAACAGTTGTTGTTATTATTTATTATTATTATTAGTACTAGTAGCAGTAGTAGTATTATTGATGTAATTTCTGGTGATGATAGTAATAATAATAATAATACTTGGGGGGATCCTACACGTATAAGAAGCGGGTTACGTAAGTCCCTGTGGTCTTGAGTGATGTTAAGTCAGGTTAGAGTTTTCGTAATATATTTCTTGAGACACTCCAGGAAGGCTCGGGTCACACTGCCATTGTTCCAGGTCAAGTATTGTACGGGTCAAGAGAGTGTTCTGGTAGAGGAACCCTTTTGTGGTGTAGTGGCGGGTGTGGTGTAGTAGCAAGGTGTAATGGCGGGTGTGGTGTAGTGACAGGGTGTGGTGTAGTGGCGGGTGTGGTTAGTAGCAAGGTGTAGTGACAGGATGTGGTGTAGTGGCAGGGTGTGGTGTAGTGACAGGGTGTGGTGTAGTGGCAGGGTGTTGTGTACTGGCAGGGTGTTGTGTACAAGGTGTAAGCGAAGAAAGAGACGGGGAGCATAAACACAGGTGGTGGAGGAATAACTAGTCGTATTAAATGAATATTATTAATGTCACTTTGGTGTTGTAAATGAAGGAGGAGGGTGAGTGGCCAAGTCGTGTTACGTATTAGCAGGTGGATGATGTAATGTGAGGACTGGGCGTGTGACTCGTGTAATGCGAGATGAAGGTGGCACTTTTAGTTTGCCGGAGCTGTGTTGGCTGTGACCAGGTGGACAGCAGGGAGGGAGGGAGGGAGGACAAGCGGTGTACAGTCACGGCACCGGAATGTTCGTCATCCAGGCCGCTCGCTACAACCTCGTCCTCCTCCACTCCGCGCCGCCACGCCTGCCGCCATTGGTGATGGTGCCTCCCGCCGCCGGGGTTACGAAACCTTAATTGTTGACCAGGTGGCAACCGGCCTCACCCCGAAGACAATGTGTGTGTGCGAACTGTAATTATGAATGTATCACTATGTACAGTATGTAGGCGTGGGGTTCTCTATGGGTTTGTGTTCCTGCATCCATTTTTCTGCAATACTCACAGTTAATGATGGGAGAATGAATGAGATAAAGATGTTTGTTTATACTGTAGCTATATAACTTGTACTTCTTTCCTGTGTCTTGTTATCAGTTCATTTACTTGCTTGTGGCTCTGTCTGTGTAAACATTATTCACTTGTTATGTTAAGAAATCAGAGAGGTAGATATGACTGACGGTATAGAGCACCGAGTTAGAAAGAAAGAAAGGAGTAAACGTGAGGAACTGGGTCGTGGGACTGACCGTAACAAAGCGGCAGGTGTTGGCAGATAATGATGTTTGTTTATCTCTTGGTTAGATTATGATTATGTTTAGATGGCGACGGTGCTATTAGCTGACTGTTTACATCTAGTTAACATCACCGGGCGGGGTTGAGGTTTATGAATGCCGTTTCCTCGCCCATTAAGATATTAGGAGAGGAAAGGCAGGCTGTTCTCATCCTCTTGACCAGTGCAGTATCAGCTCTTACTTAATCTGATGTTACGACACATTACCCCTCCCCACCCCCTCCCCTCCCCCTCCCCACCCCCTCCTCCTGCCTCACACATGGGGATGAACTCACAGCATCGATTCATAACGTGGGATGAACTTACACCACAACACAACGTTTTATAGCCAACACTGCAGGCACCTCCACTCTGAATACAACATCGTAGTTGTTAGGTGTAGGTTGTGGTGAGGTGGGTGAGGCTGGTGGGGAAAGAACACGGCGCTTGGTGTGTGTGTGTGTGTTAATTAGCGGGCTGTTTAGGGCTGTTTTCATCTCCTGGGATCAGTGATTAAGGTTATGCACCGCCCATAAGTAAAATACATATACAAAAATAGAATCCATACATAGGGAATATATATTCGTGAACCGGTTTCTCCGATTTATTATTCAAGTGTTCTTCCTCTCTCCCTCCTCCTCCTCCTCCTCCTCTTCCTCTGGGTGTAGCTTGGTGCCCATTTGTATCATTAATTCATGAGTAGGAAACTTGCTGCACGTTTAATGTACTTCAGTCGTCATAAAACAGGTCGTTGTATCACCAGGGGGACTTCTTAGGTGTTCAGTATACATTCGTCCACACCTGCCTCCCCCACCACACCTTACTAATTATCATACCTCACCTTATTTGTAACTCATTAATATACGTTACCTTATCGGTTTAAGTACTTCAGTTGTTATAGGATTTTTGACAGCGTTTGGTCAGCCCAGTTCTCGTCTCTCCTGACCTGACTGATAATGTTTTCGGCGCGTGGAGCAGGTTGTCGGTGTCCCACTCATCTGCTGTGAGATTAGGGGAGAAATTTTGTCTCTAAACTACCCCAGGTAATTTAGAAGTCAAACCTACACACACACACACACGTGGAAAACCTCACCACATGTGGACAGCTACCAAACAGGGAGGTACTACCGCCTGGGAAGATATTGGAAGCATAATGTGTTGTCTAATGGTAGACCCTGCTGCCGTATGGCATCACAAAAATTGTGACCTAGTTCCAGGTTACTGATCTGACTTTCTGCCTCATTTACACACAATTGCAGGGTCTCAATTGTTTGTTACTATTGAGAACACAACATACATATATTGTTTCTCACTTTTGATTTTTTTTTTCATTTTTGTATTTCGTTATGGTTTATTATTATTATTATTATTATTATTATTATTATTATTATTATTATTATTATTATTATTATTATTACATCCCAGGCCCCGATGTGGGTCAGTGACCTGTGCCCGGGTGGGCTAATCCCCGTAAAAAATAAAATAAAAGTTAAACACGTGAACACCTCAAGACTTGCTAATTTAAGACACACCTGTACTTACTGTTTATCTAAAAAGGTAACAGCAGTGTACGTGCTTAACTACGCACGTATCTGAGTAACTGTGATCTGGTGGAGGAAATGGCTGGATTGATGGGGGGGGGGTAGTGTCGTGGTTAGGTTGACAAAGTAGTGTGGTTGTGGCAGCTGGTGTTTACACGTATTTCTGGGCCTTTGTGTGTTATCTGTGAATTAATGGCTTAATCTCTTGAGAACGATGACTTAGCTCACTGATTACAATGAATTAACCCATTACGCACGATACCTTAACCTCAGAGTACAATGATATAACCCCGCCCATTGATTACAATGAATTAAACCTTTGAGTAAGATGCCTTAACCTCTTGAGCTCAATGATTTCATCACCAGAGTAACTTGAGTACATCTCTGTGAATACCATGACAAATACCCTTGAGTAGGAGGACATAGTACTCGAGAGCTTTGTCTTCGTACTCAAGAGGTTACAAATTAATTATACTGTCCATCGATTTAATGGTATACTGATATACTTTCAAAGCTTTCTGTCGTGGTATATACTGTTATATACTTGTAAGCTTATTGTGTCATGTTCATGTAGTGATAGTGTCTGTTGTAGCCTCTGAAGGGCGTCTTGTGGGTGGGACTCGATACTTATTATGGTTACGTACATTATTATTGTAATTTTATTATAATCGTTATTATTTTTTCTATTAATATTGTTAAAATCTGCGTTATTAATATTTTTCATTAATTATAAAGTACGATACCCCCGGTATTACTAATAATATCATACTAAAATATGTGTTGAGTGAGGGTAGTCGAGTCATGAGAGCAGGAGCTACCACCGTCAGCACCTGAGTGATGGTAAGGGGCAACACACTCACTCCTACATCACCTCTCCCACCCCGTGTTTTGAAACCCCGGCCGGATTTGTGCAGCGTAATTGTAGGCGGGGAGGTCAAGCACCGTGGCGCAACACTGCTGAGTGTGTTAGCCGCCGCCCCGTCGTGTTGTGGTTCCCTCGTGTTGAGTTTGATCAACACTCACCCTGCACTTGCTGGCTTGGGGCACCAAGGGGAGGGGGAGGGGGGTAGGAAGATATTACGTGGAGGGAGATGCCAGATAGGAAAATAATACTGGGAGGGGAGATATCAAGGGAGGGAGAAGGGGGGGGGGGTATCTTGGGAAGGAATGTTTGGAGGGTAACGCAAGGAGAAGGAAGAAAGGTAGGAATGAACTTGGAAATGAAGTATTTGGAAGTGTGACTCCAGGTGAGGGGGAGACTTAGAGTACAGTATTTGGGGGAGAGGGAAGGTGGGGTCATGCACACAAGTAGGGAGACAGAGGATGGTGTCTCAGTAAGGGAGCACATCACTACGAACTTCACAGCACTTGTCCCTCAACCAGTGTGCGGGATATATAGGACTTGTGTGCTTATTTCTTTCTCAGGGATGTATGGAGTTTTTGTCTAACGTCTTTTACACAAGTTGAACGTCGTGTGTAACAATATCTGTCTCCTTTTCAATATTTATCAAATATCCTGTGAATATCAGTAACTTCTGTTTTATTTCAGGTCTTACAATACAAGAAGCTCCTCCGACGTAAACAATTTATGAATTTTCTGTGTTAAATCATCCCAATAACTGCCTTTCTTGACTAGACTGATAATGTTTTCCTCGCGAGGGATGTTCTTTTTTCCCCTCAAGTGCTGTTTAACACAGTCAATGACCGGTCCTGAACCACCCTTGTTTTTACGCGACTAACGAGTGTTTTTCTGTCCGCAGGGACCTGAGCCAGAACAAGGACCTGAAGCTTTCTGCCGGAGTGTTCAACAACCTGCCCAAGCTCACCACTCTGTGAGTATTATTAGTGTTTCTGAGTACACCTCACATGTAGAGTTTCTAACTTACCAGATGAATATATAAGTGCAGCACAGTGCAGCACTATATGTATGGTGAATGGTCAAATGGGCCCTAGTCTTGTGTGCGTAACTAATCACAACCTAACCTCAACTTTCGTGTTTAGTTGGACGCATTGATGATCATCCAAGGATATTGAAAAAATTGTCAGCTGAGGCGTAAAGTAAGAGAAATCTATCGATTTGTTGTGGTGTGTAACCTTGTGTGAGAAGGTGCGGAGTCAGCAGCGAGTCGATGGATGTGAATGGTGGTGCTGAGACTGGCATTGTGATGAGGACGTGCGTGCCTTAGCGGGCCGAGTGGCGACGGTGCCGGTGGTGGTGGACTGACCCGCGTTGCCATGAGGAGGAGGGGTGTATGGGGTGTGTCGAGGAGACGGCCGTGATGCTGCTGGCTGTAGATCGATACTCTAGAGACCCCCCCCCCCCACCATGTGTGTGTGTGTGTGTGTTGCGGAACGTCTGGTTTAAGAGATGTGTGTACCAATCTATGTGTGTGTTAAAGTGTCTGCGTGTGTAGGCTGGCAGGTATTTCCGGGTGGGTAGGTGTACGTGTGCAGGTGGATGGTTATGTAGGTGTTAATGAGATGGTGTAGAATACCTGTAAATACATGTTCACGGGCCTTTTTGTATTGTGTATATATGTTCTTGGTTTAAGTATGTTATCAGTAACGTTATGTATACTTTGTGCACTTTGATAAGTATATTGTGTTATGTATATTTAGATGTATATACAAAAAGATGGAATTATGTTGTGTTGGTTTAGCTGAAGTATACAGGGAACAATGTCGCTTGGGTGCGGCTGCTCAGTGGATACATCACTCTTCTCCTGTCCTAAAGGTCAGTGGTTCGTGTCCGGGAAACTATCAGTCCATCCAGCTGCGAATGGCTAGCTCCCTCCCTCCCTAACTAAACACTCCGAACTCCGTGGACTGTATCCGAACTGTCCGTTAGGTCTTCGGGACGCTCTTTCATTGTGTTGTGGTTTAGTTAGTTCAGTAAATAACACACACACACACACACACACACACACACACACACACACGTTAGTACTGTAGGTTGCTGGGTGTTGCTGTTAAGGGAGTCCATTGTGTGCATTTTGAAGTAAGGTGAGTGAGGGTGGAGTGGAATGTGGGGTGTATCTTGTGTTGATGTTCACTTGTGTTGTGTGTGTATGTGTGTTTCTGTATGTGTATTTCTGTGTGTGTGTGTGGTTTGCGGATGAGTGGATGGCGCCGCGCTGTCTGCCGCATCCCATCACCACCGCCGCCTTGGGCTTCCCTCCTCACCCGCATCACCACCACACAACCCTCACCGCTCTCCCACACCCTCCCTCCCCCCTACTCTCCCAACATCACTCACCAACTCCCCCAGATAACTCTCTCCCTCCAGTCCCTCGCTCTCCCTTCTCCTCCCCCTTCTCCCATATCTCACCACTCACTCAGATAGCTCCTCCCCCACCTGCTACCCTGACAATATCACCAGTCTCAGATAACTCTCCCTCCTCACCAGCCCCGCCCCGTTCTACGTTCTAACCCCGAAATTCCCCCGTTTCCTTCTCTTCCTTCTCTCGCTTTCCTTGATAACTCTACCTCCCCCCCCCCTGCTCCCTTGCTCTTCCTACATAACCTCCCCCCACTTCCCTCTTCTTCCTCTTCGCCTACTTCACTCCCCGTCACTTCATGCTGTCATTGAAAAGCAGACTTGTTATTGCGTCGTTCGGGTAGGAGGAGGAGGAGGTGGTGGTGGTGGTAACACACACGTAATTACCAACTGTTTAAGCTTCCTGTAAGGCACTTATGGCGTGGCCTAGATTTACATTGCCTTTGTGTATATGACCGGGGTGGCCAAGGATTAGTCATTGGCTGCAGAAAACAACCTATCAGTCAAGTCAGCAAAGGCTGCCATCGGGCTGAAATCGGACACAAACGTACAATACATCGATCTTGAAGTGTGCGTGTGTTGGGGGGGAAACGAATGGATTATTTCAACACGTATTTAAAGCCTAGACGTTTAGTAATGGCAATAGGACAGGACGTGTTAGGACTACGCTGTGGTGGTGCAAGTATTTTGGTAGGGTAAGAGAAGCCATTGGTGTTATTGTGGTGGTGGTTGTAGAGAGAGGAACGGCGGTAGCTTTAGGCCTAGGTTGGGAAGCTGGATAGGCAGGACAGTGAGGGTAATAGCTGGTGTAGGCCTATATTAGTTTACTTGGGTCGGTAACCGTGGCCGGCTGTGTGTGTGTGTGGGGTGTGTGTGTGTGTGTGTGTGTGTACAAACTGTTACATGATACGTGTATACCCACAGGGACAGAAATACACACATACATAAAATGAGCTCCATAGAAGCCATTTGTCCAGGGTTCCCTTCGGTGCGACGCGGATGGTTCACATACTTATAGATGTACACATATGCAGTCATACATAAACATACATACATATATACAGTTATACATAAACATACATACATATATACAGTCATACACTAAATCTATATATATATATATATATATATATATATATATATATATATATATATATATATATATATATATATATATATTATTCTTAGTATGATGTGCGAGTCTTAATATGATAGTATGCGAGTATTTTATGATGTGTGAGTCTTATTATAACATGCGAGTCTTAGCATATCACGCGAGTCTTGTATGATGTGCGAGTCTTAGTATGATGTGGGAGTCTTCGTATGATATTATGCGAGCCTTGTGAGATCTTACGCAAGTCTTCATTCTCGTAAAGACCTCGTTTCTTGGTACGAGTTAATCGCCTTGGAATGCTTGGTTTAGACGTGTCAGTTCTCACGCCCAATATACCGCGGTTAATGATGCAAGTTACTTCCTTTGGGCGGTTTTAGCTGTGAATACATTAGTTAATTCATGCTATAACTTCCTGGCGATAATATAGCTGTGAATACATGAGGTAATTCAAGCTATACCTCCTTGGGACTGTTATAGCTGTGAATACGACATTATTCGACCCAAAGCTAACTCAAAATGTATTGTTAGCTGTAAATATGTTGTTTCCCGAGACCAGCTATACTCGTAAGCACTCCTGGTTGAATGCATCACTCCTTTAGCTCTGAAGTACAATGTTCCTTTTATGGAGTTAGTTTAAGCTACTATTAAATATATTGGCCTCTATTGATGTTTTGAAAATCTAGGTCTGTAAACAAAAAAAACACTACTGGCGTTTTTAATTAATTTATAAGTACAGTAAGATGTATTCCACTATGTGTTCATAATGTGACATGGCCGTAGCATCTGTCGGGGTTGATTTACTGTGATTAATCTCATGAGTATTATGTATAGGCTCTGGGATTTGTTGTGATTGATTTGTAAGTTGAGGCTTCGATTAAATCATGTTTACTAATTGAGGGTGATCAACGTTTCGTGAGTGGTGTATGTATGTCCGTTGTCATGTTCACTCTTTCTGTATCGAGTCTTTCTTGAAGTCATAAGGTCACTGTATAAGTAAAGCTTTAAGTATCACCAAGTTCACTCTTTCAAGTCGAACATAATTGTCATATCTTGAGCAAGTCATTAATTAACTCCCACATAGACAACTCTTTCAAGATAAACCTCAGTTGCAGGTGTGAGAGATCAAACGACTCGCCGAGGGTGTTACATATAGAGACGCAACAGTCACCGTCACCACACGCACGCACACACACACACACACACACACACACACACACACACACACACTTACAAATAAAGTCCATCATGTCGGGAGGCGGAGGTGAGAGTCGTATATAACACCGATTACTGCCTCGCTAGCTTTATATTCTGGTGTGTGCGTGGGTATAGGCTCGCCGATCACTGTTGGGAATAGCAGCTGATGCAGTAGGGGGTGTGGGAGGATGTGGGCGTAGTGGATAGGGAGAGAGGAGGAGGGGAGGGGTATATTGATGATGGTTGGGGGAACAATGGGGATGAGTAGGGGGGGTATGGATGAGGGGATGTTGCTGGATGGCTGGCACTGAGGATGGAGGGATGAGGGCAGAGGGTGAGGAGGAGGGGGGGGGAATAGTTGGGGATGTCAGGTGTTGGTGTAGTGGGAGAGGAAGGAGGCAGTGATGGGGAGTTGCTATGATGATGGGGGAGAGTTGGATGCTGCTGAGGGAGAGAAGGGTAGGAGGTGGTGGTAATGAGTGGCGAGAAGAGATGGTGGGACTGGGTGGAGGGTGGAGCCACAGGTGTTGTGGATCACTGGTAAGCAGGGACAAGCACAGCTGGTCCGCCTCCGTGACGCAACAGTATATTTAGGTGGCCACTCCCTCACCTGTCATGTAGCCAGACAAAACCTGCCTGCGGTGTCACTCAGGCCCAAGTGCTCTAAGTGCCACGTGGTATGCTGGGCGGAGACTGGGACGTGATCACATAGTAGCGAAGGGGGGGGGGGGGTAGGAGGGGGCGTGGTTATAGAATGTCAGGTGTGTGGTATGTTATGCAGAGTTACAACACCTGTGTGTTGTTTTCATCATCTGATTGGCAATGCCGGTAGTGTTTCACGTGAACTGTGATGTATTTGTGCCTGTGTGTGTATATATGTACAGTAATTATATGGATATGTAAATGTGAGTGTGGTTGTAGAGATGACATAAATGACTGTGTGAGTGTGTGTGTGATATGTTTGGATTTGTGTGTACATGTATGTGTGTAAGGGATAGTGTGTGGTTGGGTGGCAGTGGGGAGGACCTGTGGTCGTAGTAGTAGCTCTCAGCCAGTAAATACCGTGTAAGGAGTATTTTTAGTTGAGCGCACGTGTTGGTCGTGACTCTCTTAATGTAGTAGTGAGGGAGAGGGTGTACTCCAGTGGATATATATATATATATATATATATATATATATATATATATATATATATATATATATATATATATATATATATATATATATATATATATATATATATATAT